ATCACTCTCTCCAGTGGGCTTAGTCATGCCACAGTCCTTTCCCCGCCCGCCATCTCTCCATCCCATCAGGATTTGGGGCGCACGCATATACACACCCAGTGTGTTTTTCAAGCCTCCGGGGCTGGGTCTAAAACTGTGTTCAGCCATGTGGGATGGCTCACTTCACCACTAGGCTACAGAGCTGGCCCTAACAGAGCCATTTATATAGATTAAGTATTTAAAAGTTTCTCATACATTTCAGACCCTTGGTTATACCTGATATTAAAAACTAACACTGTATGCCACTTTATCACAATTGAAGATAGCAGTGACCATGGTTTAATCTCCCTGATGCCTCAGTAAATGTTTGTTAAATGCAGATAACTTTATGTTAAAAGAATGGACTTTGATGTTAATCCCTACCCTATAACTTACTTAACCATATGACATGGGGACAAGTTACTTAAACTTTTAGACTTTCAAATTCTGTTTCCTTAATACAAAGAATTAAAAAAAAAAAACAACGATGCTGTATGAAATTAAAATAAGGGCAAAAGGAGTGTGTAAAGCAATTAATGTTGTGTCTTTCATTTAAGTGCTCTATAAATGTTAGGCATTGTTATTTAAATTCTATGCTCTTTTTTTATATAAATCATACTGCCTTTTTATTCAGCGTCTGTCTACTCTGCAAACATGAAGCTATTAGTGAAATCAAGTATAATACTTCTTGACTATGTTCAGTCAAATGTTTGTTTTTATTTTACTGGCTATTTTATCTCCTTCCTGCTCTAGGTATGGTGAACATAGGTGTGAATAACGTCCAGGAGTTGATTGTTGCAGCAGACATGCTACAGTTGACTGAAGTTGTTCACCTTTGCTGTGAATTTTTGAAAGGACAAATTGATCCACTCAACTGCATTGGGATCTTTCAGTTCTCTGAGCAAATTGCTTGCCATGATCTTTTGGAATTCACAGAAAACTACATTCATGTCCATTTCTTGGAGGTTCATAATGGGGAAGAGTTCCTGGCCCTTACAAAAGACCAACTGATCAAAATATTACGAAGTGAAGAGCTTAGCATTGAGGATGAATACCAGGTCTTCTTAGCTGCAATGCAGTGGATTCTGAAAGATCTGGGAAGGAGAAGAAAACATGTGGTGGAAGTACTTGACCCTATTCGATTTCCTTTATTACCTCCTCAGAGGCTTTTAAAATACATAGAAGGTAACTTTTTTTTTGCTATGTATCAAATTATTCAGCTAACTATCCAATAGCTTTTCTGTTTGAAGTGTGAGAGTGTTTTCATTTTTTTGGTTCAGTAACAAGCATGTATGATGTGATTAGTATATGTAGGATCAGTTTTTGTGTTCTGTGAATGGGCAGTAGTGTTTTTGTATTTCTACCGTTAGTTTAATCAAATCTTGTATACCTTTCTTGAGATTAATTACTAAGATAGATTAGTATCATAGATAAAATTACTACAAGAGCTAACATAACTGCTGCTGCTGGTGGTAGTATTAATTATTAGAGTTTAAGATTTTTTCTCCCTACTCTGAAAAAGCAAGCAAAACCCAACATTTGAGAAAAATGCATACACTGCAAACAAAAACAAAGCTCAATAAATCTTGTAAACCCTCTCATCTTAAAATGAATTTTATGGGGCTAGCAGGTGTCATGGTGGTTAAGGTGCTAGATTCCCACATGGCTGATTGTGGTTCGAGTCCTGGACCTGGTGGCTTGTTTTCTCACTTTCTTTCTCTGTCTCTCTTTAGTCAAAATAAAATAATGATGATGATGATGATGATAATAAAATAATTCTTAAAAAAATAAAATAGGAAACCAGTACGTGGCGTGGTGGTTAAGGCGCTGGGCACTCCCACATAGCTGACCACAGTTCGAGTCTTGGACCTGGTGGCTTGTTTTCTCACTTTCCCTCTCTCTATCTGGTCAAAATTAAAATAAATAAATAAATAAATAAATAAACAAATGAATAAAAAATTTCAAAATAAATCATTCTTTTTAAAAAAATAAAATAGGTGGGGCTGGCAGGTGGCATGGTGGTTAAGGGTGCTGGACTCCTATATGGCCAACGGTGGTTCAAGTCCCAGACCTGGCAGCTTGCTTTCTCACTTGCCCTCTCTTTCTCACTCAATCTGTGCCTCTCTGTCAAATCAAAAGAAAGAAAGAAAGTTAAATAAAATAATTTCTAAATAATAATAATAATAAAATAAGGATCAGCAGATGGCATAATGGTTACATCACTGGTCTCCCATGTAGTCAGTTGTGGTTTGAGTCCCAGGCCTGACAGATTAAAACTTATACCGGGTGTATGTGCGTGTGTGCCCCAAATCCCAAGAGGTGACCAGAGAAGAAGGGATTGCACCATGGCTATCTCCCCTGAGGGGTGATTTCTCTCTTTCTATCTCTGGCGAGCACATGTACTCTATAGCAAAAATCTCTCTCTAGAAAAAAAATTATAATCACAAAATAAAATGAAATTTTAATTTAATTTTTAATTTTGTTTAATTAAATTAATTAATTAATTTTTATTTTGACCAGAGAGAGGGAAAGTGAGAAAGTAAGCTGCTAGGCCTAGGACTCAAACCACAGTCAGCCATGTGGGAGTCAGCGCCTTAATCACCACACCACGTGCTGGCCCCAACAAAATGAATTTTATATTGATAAAATATGACCGCTTCAGGCTAGCTAATAGTGTGGTGGTTGGGATAGCTGAATCTCTCATAACCAACAGCATGATTTGAGTCCCATACCTGGTGTCTTGAAAATCACAAGGGGCACATGTGCATGCATGCCCCAAATCCTAGAGGAGAATGGAGGAGAAAGGGTTAAGGTGTGTCCATCCCTCGGGGCACGATCATTGTGATGTGGCCATCCCCCCTCTGTCTCTGTCTCTAATGAGCACATGCATCTGCAGCAAAAATTAATAAATATAAAATAAAATATCAAAGCTTCTGAGTAGCCTTGGAGTCATCTTAAAATTCTAAACTTATTAAAAAAAATAAATAAAGATGGGACCAGCAAGTAGCATAATGGCTGTGTCACTGGACTCCCATGTAATTGACCGCGGTTCAAGTCCGGGACCCAGCAGCTTAAACTCATGCCAGGTGTGTGTGCATGTGTGCCCAAGATCCCGAGAGGAGAATGGAGGAGAAGGGATTGTGGTGTGGCCATCCCCCCTCGGGGGGTGATTTCTCGCTTTCTGTCTCTCTGTCTTTCTGGCGGGCACATGTGCCCTGTAGCAAAAACCTCTCCAAAAAAAGAAAAAAAAAAAGAATTATTTATTTTTTTATTTACTTACTTATTATTATTTTTCAATTTGACCAGAGAAATAGAAAGCAAGCTGCCAGGCCCAGGATTCAAGCCATGGTCAGTCATGTGGGAAGCCAGTGCCTTAACCACCCTGCAACCTGCTGGCCTCAAAATTCTTTCTTTTCTTTTTTTTTTTTTTTTGTTATAATTTATTTTTACATTTTCCCACAAACATTTACTTTATATATCAAAACATTTTTGCTCATACTCCATAGTTCTTGACAGTTAATAAACACATTTTCAAAAAAACTGAATTTTAAAGATAATGTTTGAAATACCTGTTATAATTTTTTGTTTGTGACTCTGTAACAATAGACAGTATGGTTTGAAATATTTTTGAGAAAATATTTACATGTCAACTACTCAAACTATTGAAAAGCAAACACACAGCACACAATTCACACACAAACCTTCTCAATTCAGCACTGCCCACCAGATCATCTGTGATATACCACCTGCTAGCAAAGATCAGTCTCTTTTTCTTCCTTCAAAGTCTTCTTCAAGGTAATCCTCTAATTGTGGCTGCTTTTTTGCAATCTCTACTGATTACAAAGCTGGGCTGGAAAAGTCTGGGTTATTTTATGGTATGAATTCTTTCATATAGCTTTTCTAATCCTCTCTGCCAGGCAGAACGGTTTATGGTTCCAGACCATCTTTCCAAGAGCTTCTGTTGGGTTATTTGAGATCTACCCGAGTTCCATAGTTCTCTGGTTTCCTTCAAAGTCTTCTTCAAGGTAATCCTCTAATTGTGGCTGCTTTTTTGCAATCTCTACTGATTACAAAGCTGGGCTGGAAAAGTCTGGGTTATTTTATGGTATGAATTCTTTCATATAGCTTTTCTAATCCTCTCTGCCAGGCAGAACGGTTTATGGTTCCAGACCATCTTTCCAAGAGCTTCTGTTGGGTTATTTGAGATCTACCCGAGTTCCATAGTTCTCTGGTTTAATTTTCAGATAGGACATTCCAGTCAAAGCCCTGTCCAGTAACGAGTATTTCCAATTTCTGATTCAAGGCAACAGATATTATTGAACTTATGCAAATAACCATTTGCCACAAAATAAGAATACTCCCAAATATTTTCCAATTCCAGAGGGGTCAGGAAGCGAGAAAAGTTTATGTTTCCACCGAAAGAAGCAATCAAACAAGAAGAAAAAACATTTTAACAAATTGCTAAGCCTATCAACAACTCAAAAGAAAGCAACATCCTTAAATTGGGAAAACAAAGCATAGTAAAAAAAAATCAGTAATGTTTTACTCAAAAGTCATAAAATTCTATTTCACCAGTTCAGTCTTATGTAATTAATCTCTTCTGTTGAATCTGCAGTGTTACTGTGGTCCAATCTTCTGTTTAAATCCTGGAAGTTAACATTCAGTGTTGTTGCTGATATTTCTTGTTCTTAGCATTAAGTTGGTTATTTTCTTGGTTGCTTTTTGTTCTCTTATTTCTGTATGTGTGTCTTTAGTTTTCCTGGTAAAGCATTCTTTTCAGAATTTCTTGAAAAGCTGATCTGGTGTTAGTAAGTTCTTTCAGGTTTTATTTATCTGAAAATGTTTTTATCTTTTCTTCCCATAAGGATAACCTTGCCAGGTATGATATTCTTTATTTATTTATTTTTGGGGGGGAGAAGTTTTTGCGATAGGGCACGTGTGCTTGCCAGACAGACAGAGACAGACAGAGAGACAGAAAGCGAGAAATCACCCCCCAGGGGGGATGGCCACGCTGCAATCCCTTCTCCCCCATTCTCTTCTCGGGATCTTGGGCACGCACGCACATGCGCCTGGCGTGAGTTTTAAGCCACCGGGTCCAGGACGTGAACCACAGTCGACTACGTGGGAGTCCGGCGACATAGCCATTACGCTAACTGCTGGTCCTCCAGGTGTGGTATTCTTGGTTGAAACAGTTTTTCACTTAACACTTTGAATATATTTTCCCATTCTTTCCTTGTTCACATTGTTTCTGATGAGAGACCTGATGGGATAACCTTTATAAGTAACCTGACATTTCTCTCTTGCCAATTTTAGTATCTTGTCTTTGTGAATTTGGCCAATCTGGCTATGACATGTGTTGGAGAAGATCATCTTGGGTTGATTCTGTTAGGGGTCCTATGTATTTCTTAATGATATCTAGTATTTCTCATGTAGTATTTTGATTTTTTGGCTATTTTCTCAGGTTTTTTTTTTTTTTTGGTTATATTTTTCTAGGTCAGAGGTTTTGTCTTCAACATCTGAGATTCGGTCTTCTGCATGGACTAATCTGCTTCTAATACTTTCGAGGGAGGTTTAGGTTTGATTTCCTGTATTACAGCCTTCATCTCTAACAGCTCCATTTGATCCTTTTATATGGTGTGTATTTCCTCTTTCAGATCACGCAAGAACTTCCTCACCTCCTGGAACTCCTTTTCACTTTTCTCCTATAACTTCTGGAGTTCATTGTCTCTCAGCTCTTGCATCTCGTTTAGGTTTTTTTTTTTTTTTTCCTGTTTAGTTTTGTCACTACAAATATTCTGAATTCTCTGGTGGACATTTCCTCGAGTTCCACTACATTGTCTGTGGATGATGAAGGATTGCACTTTTCCCTCAGGGGAGAGGTATTTTCTTAGTTTCTCATATTACTTGTGACTCTGTGGTGGTCTCTGGCCATCCGATGGATTATATGTGTCTCCCCAATTTCTAGGAGTTAATTCTGAGCTCCAGAGGTGTGCAGGAGGAGGTGACCCAATCTCCCTGCAGTTCCATTTCCCTTATGCTCATCAAGCAACCTGTGGTTTTGACTTTGGAACTGGATATTACAAAAGCCTCACAGTCTCTAGGGAATAGGTGCACCTGGGCCTAACTGCAGGGTTTCAACAGAGTTCAGAGGCGTGTGGGAGGAGAGAAGCCGTATTCTCTCTGAG